TGAGGCATGGTGTCTTTATACTGCGTAACCCGAAGTGGCAATTTTGGTCTGGTGGAAATTGATGAGCTAGCCATCCTGGACCACTCCGCACCAAGGACCATATAGAGCAAGTTAGCCTTGGTTGGTCTGGTAAAGAACAACACAGAGCAGTGGCACACCGCAGACCCAATTGGACTTGTATTTCGCACCAAGATATCAGGATTTGTTTGGAAGTGTTGGGTTCTGCTATGACTTTTAAGGTTGGTCTTTTATTTTTAATAAATAAAATATTAATTAAAATTATTTAAAATATATATAACATTAAGTAAATTTAGTTTTTTTTTTCAACAGGTTTACAATTGAAGATGAAGGGATTTATATTCTATTTTTGGATCGAAAAATGCACATCACGGATCAATTAATAATTATTAAGCCACAAGGCTTAGGTGCGATTAAATAGATTTAGTTATTTATAATAAATTTATATTTTTATATAGTATGACAATAATGTATCGTTTAAAGTTACCACAATTAAAATTTAAATCATATTTATCAATTCTTTTAAGTAAGATTTTTTCAATTTCCTCCCTCAATAAAAAGTTTACGTGTTGCGTAGCCGTTGTTTCAAAGTTAGTATTATTATTATTATTAGAGAATAATATCAAGTAGATTGTTTTATTAAAACATTTTTAGATGAATTATTTAAAAATTTATTTTTTAATTAATATTTTTAAAATTTAACTATTAGATTAAAAGTTTTAATAATAAAGATTATATATATTAATTTTTATATTAATCTAATATTTATAATTTTTTAATCAATAAAACCCTATTTACTAATATATATTAAATGGTGTTAAATTTTTTATGATCAATCAAATAAGTAGATCTACTAGTATAATTTGAAAATGAACAATGATACAAAAAATGAATAAAGGAGACGAAATTTCTAGAACTAGTGACGTGACAAGTCACGTTGTTAATATATTAATTTTAAAAAATTTAAATTATGTTTTTTTTTTTATCTTCTAACCCCCTTCTGGTTTTTTTTTTTTTAATTTCAAAATCTCCTATCTTTCTCTCTCATCTCCCCATTTTTTGCCAAGCTCCTCCTCCAGTGAACTTCGTTGAACTCAAGGACCGGGTTTAACTCTATCCTAGCAATCAAAATCCCATAGCAATGGTTTTAAAATTTCAAAAAAGAAAAGAAAAAAAAAAGAAGAACAAGAAAAACTAAACCCTAATTATTTGGTAAAATTGAACCCCAACTAGTAAAAATTTTAAATTTACAGTTAATCTTTGCAGGGGATGAAGATTTGGAAGACACAAGATGGAGATTTGGAAGAAAGAATTTGGATTTAGATGAACCAAAAACAAGAAAAAAATTGCAAAAACATGAGAAGAAGTGGAAAGAAAGTGAGATGCTGCCACCTCATATTCGTCCCGTGAATTCATTCTCCTTTTTTTACTTTCTTACCATTATTCTTTGAAAATTGACATGTATAAACTTATATAAATAGAACTTTTAATTCAATGAATTAGTTTTTTAAAATATTACCTAG